CTCCTCCTCCTCCTTCTCCTTCTCTTCCTCCTCCCCCTCCCCCTTTTTCAGTTGAGAAAATGGAAAAGGACGTTTTTTTCCCCCCATCTTGATGCAGAGGCTTTTTTTTGTTGTTGTTGAAAGAGTCAGAAATTGGATGTGCTTAAATGCATTACCCCCTAAAGAGAGAAAAAATAATAATTTTAATGCATCTTTTCAGACTATAATTCTTTTCGAGGATTTTTTTCTCTCTTTTCCCCCACCTCCCCGCCTCCCCTTTGGCCATTTTTAAAAAATGACTTCTTATGAGCATGCTAAAGGAGAACAGTACAAAAATCTCTTTGGGATTGTGTTAAGTAGCTAATGTGCTGTTGCACATGTAAGCTAAATAGTATATGGCGTGTGTGATCCACGATTGTCTTCAGTCGTGAAGGACTGTGGGTATAGCTCATGATTTTGGGAGAAGCAGTGGATTATATGTCAGGATGTTTGGGAGAGCAAAGTGCTTTTGAAATAAAGATGACCTAAAGTTTAAGAAATACAGCTGTGAAAAAGCTACATACCAAAGACCCGTCACTACCAAATAAATCTTGTTGAATACATGGGAAAAGTGACATGGGAAGTGTTCACCTCACACCTTACATTAGTGGCTACTCATAAGATATCTTTGGCAAATCATGCAAATTTAGAATTTAGGAGAGATAGAAAATTTTTGTCTTGGCATATATGATAGACATTGCTTTGGTATTAGATTCTCCATTTAAATCAAGTCTGCTTACTGTGTTTGTAAGGAATGAATACCACATCTATGTTGCTTATAAGCCTTAAGGATGACTGTAAATCCTTAGATACTTAGCATTACAAAAAGCCTGTGCATAAAAATCTGTAACAAAAGAGAGCTTCCACAAATAATTTGCAGCCTATATTTTTTAGTAAGAAAGAGATACTACGCATAATAAAAAGGTGACTTGTGGCTTTGGTTTCAAAATCAGAATGTAAGCTGTGAAACACTTGTGTCAATATTTAACTTGCCTCGGTGTGTGGAGTAGGGTACACACACACACACACACACACACACACACACACACACACACACACACACACTCCTTTGGACATTGCCCCCATACCTGAGGAGTTTAACTTTATGAGGTTAGAAAAATCCCTTTTGCATGCAAATTTTGTAGGTGTCTTTTGTTTTTATTCCAGAAATTCACTCCCCCCACCACCTTTTTAAAATTTTTATTTCAGTTTGTTTTATTAGAAAAGGTCTTATGATATAGCTCTGGACGACCTGGAACTCTCCTGGCTCTGTCTCCAGGGTGCTGGGATTAAAAAGTGTACCCCAACAGCACTGGGTAGTGTCACATTTTATGGCTTTAAATGTAATTTCTACCTGAGACTAAAACTCTTCCCACTTGATTAGTCCTTTTAACAGCATTTACTGGGTGTCTATAATGTCTCTGACATGTAACATTAAAGTCAATTGTATATTTAAAACATTTATGTCAATCTCTTCTGTCAAATAATTTCTGTAGTAATTTGTTTTTCTCAGTTTTTATGAACATTATCCTCTAAATTGGACACAGCTAATTTTTTTCTGCTCAAGAGCTTAGAATAGTTTTTTGCAAATGTCATTAAAAACCTTAAATGGTTAGTAGTGTATTCTTAGCATTATTCTATGTAGGTTTATGTTTGTTATTAATGATAGCATTGCTTTTAAATGATTCTATATATATTAAGTGCATATGCAGCTATTAAAAACATCAGTGTTCTGATTTTTGAAAGTGGAAATGAATTTGCAAAAGTGGTCTTTTAAATACTTTCAAGCACGAAAAACCATGTGACAGGGGCCATATAAAATAGTCTTTAAAAAGTCTTTGATATTCTTTTCATTAGGATTTATTTTAATAAGAGTTTTGGATGCCTTTGACAGTTTTCTTCCTCACTGATAAATATAAAGACAATGTTAAGCCAGACATGGTGTCTCACATCTGCAAACCCAACAACAACTGAGAGAATGAGGCAGGATTGTGGCAAGGTCTAGGCTAGCCAAGACTGAGAGGTGAGTTGAGAGCATGTCTCAAATAAAAAAAAGTTAATGATTAGAGATGTGCTAAAATATGTAGTGGAAATAACTTTGCGGTTTATTTCTTTAGTTTCCCTTTTTTAAAAATTTACTTTTTCAAGACAGTGTTTCTGTATCTCTGGCTATCACGGAACTAACTCTGTTGGCGAGGCTGGACTTGAACTCACAAAGATCCCCTTGCCTCTGCCTCTGGGATAAAGCCCTGTGCCTCCACCACCCAACAGAGAAGTAGCTTTTTACTTAGAGCTTGATTTGATTTTTGCTGCGCCATGGTTTTATCTGTAAACACGGTGGTGAAGATACCCCAGCTGTGAGGATTAAAGACTACAGTGCCCAATGGGTTTTCACCTTTATGCTAGCGGCCTTCATACCCCGTGTTTCCGAATGATCTTTCAGCACTTTGTATATAGTGGTCTGTAACCAATAATGGTTCTATTACTTGTTTCTGTCTCATTGCGAGCTCAATCTTTAAGAGTAAGAACCTCTATTGTTTAGAGAATATTTTTCCAGATGCCTTTCTACTCTTCAGCCTGTTATCAAAGACTGTGTAGTTTACGTAAATTAAAAGACCCCCCCCCCACACACACACCTTAAGTAGAAGTGTGTATCATAGTTATGGACATTGAGAAGTGCTAAGATCAAAGGTAATTTCCACTGAAGACTTGAGTAGTGTTAGGAAAATTTGTTTAGCTGGACTGGAATGGGGATTGAGCATAGGGCCTGTCACACGCTATCCAAGTACTCTCCCACCTCTTTGTCCTCTTTGTACTTTTCATCCTCTCATTAGGCTGGCCAGGCTGTCTTAGACTCGCTCTAGCCTCGGCAGACCTGAGCTGGAAGCCCTCCTGTCTCATCTTCCATAGTTGGTAGATTGCAGGCCTATGCCACCATGTTTGGGTTGGACTGTGTCTTTGTGTTTCTGTTTCTCTCTCTATTATTTTTCTCTTTGAGATTTTATTTTATGAGCGTTTTGCCTGCATGTATGGCTGCACCACATGTGTGTGGTGCCTGTGGAGGTCAAAAGAGGGTGTTTGGCCTGCCATGACTGGGATGATAGACAGTTGTGAGTTGCCATGGGGTTCTGGGAATTGAACCCAGGTCCTCTGGAAGAGCAGCAAATGCTCTTAACAACTGAGCCATCCCTTCAGCCTCCTTTCCCTTCCCCTCCCACCCTTCCCTTTTTCCTTGGGACAGGGTCTCACTAGCCTCTGAAACCAGCTATAGAGACTAAACTGGCCTCCAACTCAGGTAGCCGCCTGCCTCTGCCTTCCCAATGCTAAGGACATGAAGACAGATCCTCCTAAAAGCCCCACCTTGTAATTTTGTCACCTCAGATTTTAGGTTTTTAGAGAAGCTTCAGGGGGATGTAAACATTGAGATCGTGGTGTAGAATACGTCTGAAATAGTTACTAGTGTATTGACTAGTGGTCAGCTAACATTTCTGAGTCTTATTTGAATACTCTGAACTGGACTGGGTTATATGGGTAAAAAATACAAAAACTTGTTTATCATTTATAGCGCATAACACTTTTTTTTTAAATGTGATATCTTGTTATGTTATGGAACTTAATTCTCTCTGCCCTTCTAGTCTTAAGGCATTTCTGTATGGTTAGCATCTCTTACATCTCAGCTCCAATTGTAAAGACATACTGTTGGTTTTTTGGGGGAGTGTGGTAGGAATACAGTCCAAATATATGTGTTCATGTCTTGGTTCCAGCTCATTATTCAATATCCAATTTATAGTATATATACATGTGTGTTGTGTGTAAAATAAAATATATTTACTCTGGTACTTGGCCTGTTAGTACTAGTTTTTGGAGAGTGATTATTCTAGCTTCTGATAATAGAGTCACAGCTTCTGTATTTTTATTTTCTTAACATGAGGAAATTAAAGAGTTAATTTTTAAGATGGTTTTCTTAAATTCACGTAGGGCCAGAATCAGTTTGGAGTCTCTGGCTCCCAGGTCAGGAGTCTACATTTATTGGCAGGGATTCTATCCTGTCTGTTTAGAAGAATAGTTCAATTTACTTTGTAATTGCCCATCTACTTTTATGGAGGTGTGTATTTTCCATAATATTAATGAAAGGTAACTCTTAGAAGATGGCATAGATAGGGCTTTTATTCTTTCTAGGGATAGATGTCAAATAAAATAGTATTAAATAGAAATATTGATATTTTCTCCAGGTGTTTGAAATACTTGAAGATGCATTATTCCTTCTTAACAAAGTGACTTGTTGGTAAATACATACCAAATTTCTTCTCATGTTTTCATTTAATTTCAAAATACTAGTTATAGTTCCTTGATTTCAGTTGCCTATCACAAGTAAACTAACTGGATAGTAATTTGGAAAGATTATTAGTATTAGGACTATCTACAAATAAAATAAGGTTAGTTTTTTTAAAACAATTTTTATAGAGGTTCAAGGATATGTCATGTATCTCTATTATTATCTCTTTGTCTTACTTCCCCAAAGTCACACAAGAAATAGTAGAATCTCGGAGGTTCAGTGGTTCAGGAAACAAAAACGACCTGGGACTATTGAAATAAAGGAAATTTGTAGTAGAAAGGGTCATGGAACGTGGTTTTCTGTTAACTTGCTACATGTTAAGCATTTTAAAGAAATAATATTTGGGGATATTTTTATTTTTTTGTTTATTTGGTGTGAGACGAAGGTTATGCAGTCCAGGTTGGCATAGAACTGACTGAGGGGGTAACTTTGAACTCGTGACCTTCCTACCCCTTTGAGTGCTGGGATTGCAGGCTGGGCCTCCTTAACCAGTTGCATTTTCAATATGTGAATTTATTTCAGATGTGGCACTTACATTTAACATGAATAATAACTTTTAATTGCTAGTGCTATTTAGTTGCCAAACTGAATCCCTGTAATTTGCTCTACTTGTCCTGTTTTATTACTTAAATGAATGGCAAGTAAATCATTTTTATGAACAAGTTTTATGAGTGACAGTACCACACTAGATAGACTCATTCTTGAAGATCCATTGTGGCAAATATGAGTAGGAGCTTGCATTAAGAAATTGCATTTGATTTATGGAAGAGAGACCTATGTAGGTCTTAGCGAAGCTGGCGTCTTTGTTTGAAGTAAAAGCACAGAAGTGTATAGATGTTGAACATCTGTGACATGAGCAGGATAAAATCTTCCTTGTGTTGCATGTCCTGATCTTAGCCTCTCAGTGCAATTTCAGAAGTTGGTCTTCTGGACCTGTCAGCATCATTTGAGCAGTGTAGCACAGATCTCATTATGTTGATAGAAATCAAACATTCAAAAACGAAATACTTCAAATTTGGTTTTGCATTGCTGGGGATGGAGTGCTGGGCCTTTAACATGCTAGGTAGGATATCTACCAGTGGTCTACAGCCCCAGTTTGAAAAAAATATTTTAAGTTCTTTGTATTGCGGAGCCTTGTAGATCTTCTCCAGTTGGTGACATGTTGTATGGGATGGAGGTAGTAGCAGTAGTAGTTGTTTGAAAAGAATCAAGCTACATAGCCCGGATATACTGTACCTGATTGTATAGTCCAGGCTACCTTGAATTCTTGGTTGTGTGCTTATCCCTCCCAAGAGGCTTTATTTCTTGGTGATTTATTTATTTACTTATTTTTTTTTAAAGACAATGTCTTATATAGCCCAGGCTCGTCTCAATTCCTTGTAGTTGAGGATGATCTTCGCTTCTTATCCTTCTTATCCTCCCTGCTCCAGTGCTGGGTCTATTGCTGTGAACCACTGTTTCTTATTTATACCCAGTGCATACATGTTCAACTCAAAATGTTCTTGTGGGCATTTAAAGCAAGTAGTTCTGCACACACATTACACAGCTATGGCCAGAGTGAGGTTGGTGTTGTTGAATGGTCTTTTTCGTGTAACAACTTCTGTCTTGTATAAAAGAGATGATGGCTTGTCCACTTGAGACTTCTAAAGAACTTTCTTGCAAATGTGAGAAAGTAGTCTTAGAATTGTCTCTGTGGAATGAAAGCATAACTCCTTTAGCTTTATAGTCTGTGATGTAAAATAAGTTCTGATGCCCCTAGTGATATGGACAATATAGATGATAATATAACATCCCAGCTACATACATATGTACCATTCAGTATGAACAAACTTCATATTTTGTTATTTTCATGCACTCTATTGTCCTTTCTTAAACCCATTCATTGTATTTTTTAGTTGACACCTTTAGTAACGCTAAGAATTTCTACTCATTATGGTTCTAACACTCCACCTATTATTGGATGTGAAGGGAAAAGATGAAAGGCATATTCGTGCTTTTTATATAAAGCTAGTATGTCATAAAGAGAAGCAGGTTATCCCCTGCTTATTAGTATTTTTTCCTTAAGGTTTCTGTTTATTGTGTGCCCCTTAATGTGGATATGTACCCTATTTGCTAACCATACAATATACCAAAAATAAGGATATTTTTATTTTTATTTGGGACTTTAAAAATGATGCTTTAGAGTACCTATTGTATATTATGTGTACTAATTGATAAATCTTATTTCAGGTAAAGATAATATTTATCTTGCTTTCAAAGTAAGCTGACAGTGTATCTTGTGTTGCTGATGGAAAATTCACTAAGAAAATCCAAATCCTGAGTTTCTAATAATTGAAAATTTCCACTTGTAAATGTTGTTTTATTCGCATTCTCTCTGTTAGTATTTCTCACTGATCTTGTAGCATATTGTATAGCTTTTTAGTTTGGAGATGGGAATTGGAAATTAAAGTTTGGGAACCTAAAGGAGGAATACACCTTATTCTGTAGAGTGGGCTATATAATTTTTGAAGAACACATAAACATAATAAGAAAACCGAACTAATTTTAGTCTTTTATACATATAGAACTTGGTATCTGTTCTTCAGATCATGTGTAATTACTGCCTGGTACATTATGTTTTTTATTATTTCAAAAATGAGGTTTTGAAATTTGAGATTTAACTGTGTATAGATAATCTTCTGACCCCATTCTGAAAATTTCTCTTCATTTTTTTCTAAATGAAACATGAACTTAAAAACAGTTGTATTTTTGCAGTGGACTATGTAGGTAACTTTTCCAATTGAAATTAAATGTTTACTCCCATATTTAAGAGTCTGTGAGAACAGTAAATGTTTTCTTGTGTACATGTTTTGCATTCTGTATCGTTTTTCTTCTCCGTTTCTCCATCTTTCCCCTCTTTCTCCCTTCCTCCACCCTCTGTCTCCCTCTTCCTTTTGTATTTCCCCATCCATCTCTTCCTTTTCCTTCTGCAGATCTAGTCATTTGTAAAGGCTGATAAATGAACTACTTTCTAGTTTGTGCAAGTCTGGTTTAGGATATTTGCTACAGGCTACATGTAAGTATGATAATGAATAATCCTCTAGGCTGGAGATACAAAGTTAAGCAGATGTAGGCAGTACTAGATCAGTACTGGACAACTACTAAAGACCTTCTGAAGCCTCACTGTAACTGTTGATATGCCTGTGCTGAATTTGATAAGGCATTCTTAGGAAAGTTGGAAGTGTGTGCCTGTGTTGTATATATGCTTTCCATCTTGTTAATTCATGACAAATTTTGAGAAATTGAGACTGATTTCTCTTTTTTTTAGTGGTCAAGATGCAGTAGTTCAATTATTTAGACACTTATTTTGTGCTTAATATTGTCATGTAATAGTTTCATTTATTCATTTATTCACTCTGTCTGTCTGCCTGTCTGACTGGTTCTGGGCACTAAACCCAGGGCAAGCTTCTATTATTATTTCTATTACTATCATTATGTATGATATGTATTTGGCCATGGGAGTGCCACACTATGTGTGTGGAGGTCAGAGGATAATCTGGTAGAGTAAGTTCTCTCTGTCAATGTTAACTTTGGCCCCAGGGATCTAACTCAGGTGTTAGGGTTATAAGGCAAGCAATTTGCCCACAAAGCCATCTTACCAGTCCTACATCTTTATCTTATTTGGATATTTTTCACAAAACAGGAAGATTGGGTCACCCAATTCTACAAGGTCCCAGGGGGCTTGTTTTTAGCTTGGACATTGTATACTCTTGATTTCTTTTACTTTTTAAACCATATGTTATAAAATATTTAAAGCATTTTGTAAATAATATAGCAAAAATCTACTTAGCTACAACCCAGGAATATATGAATGGCATATCATGCTTAAGACTTTATAGATGTGTTTTGTGTATGCCTGTCATCAGTTTACATGATTTAATTCTTGTTATGTTTTTGAGATAAATATGTAGATGCATTCAGGTCTGTTATATTTTCTTTTACTCTTCTGTGATATTCCATTATATGGATATCTAAATAGTATTGGATCCCACTGCTTATGAATATTTTGGATTGTTTCCTGTATTGTTCTTAGGAATGATGCCACAGAGATTTTTCTTTTAATACTTTTTTTGCACAGGTTTTTCTTCAGGGAAAATTAAAGAAGTAAGGTTGCTAGAGTATCGGGTATATCTTGAACTTGTTTAGATGTGGCCAAATTCTTATGTAAATTGAATTTGCTAGCATATGCTTTATCAGCAAGCAATGTATGAACATTTTTGTTGTAGCATCTTTTCCCTGTATTTGGAATTGTCAGATTTTAAATAATGACATCAAATGCCATCTTGTTTTGTGTTCGCTTTAATTCTGAGTGGTTGGCAAAATGGTATGAGTTTCATGATTTTTTTTTTTTTTGCACATTTCATTTTATCAAATTTAAATTAAAAATCCTTTTGGTACTGGGGATTGAAATCCATGGCCGGCTGTATGTTTGCTAAGTAATTTTCTTTGTGTCTTATAATTTTCAGAAAGACACGTGGGGTTAAGATACTGTATACAAGGTTCATGTTGACAAGGACCTTGAGAACTATCTTATCGAAACTTTCTGTTTTAGAGTGCATTCAAGGAATGCTTCCAGAATATGAATAAAATAGAATGTTATGTCTACTGTAGCATTCTGTCTTGGTATAAGATCTTCAGTCTCAGTTTATAATATGGAAGTCATGCTTCTCTACTATTTACATTTCATATTATCTATTATTATTTAAGGGTTTTTGGTATAGAACATTTATTTTGGTCCATCTGAAGAGAGTTGGGAGTCTTTTTTTAATGAACAATATAAAAAGTTAGTGGTGCTAACATTGAGTTACATTTTTCCCCAATTTTTTTCAGATGTCACTTGGATCATCTCCCATGTGTTTTATTTTCATTTGATTTGCCTTACTTTTTTTCTTTCTTTGTACCAGTGGTTTTATTTGTAATAGCTTCATATACATCTATGAGTCTTGGCTCTTCTTGGACCTTTTTCTTTACAATACTGTAAAACCAGTTCATCAAGTTCCTTTGGATATGTTATACCATATCCTTTTGTGTGTGGCATCTTTATTTCTTTCTTTTCTTTTTTTTTTTTTTTTTTTTGGTTTTTCGAGACAGGATTTCTCTGTGGCTTTGGAGGCTGTCCTGGAACTTGCTCTGTAGACCAGGCTGGCCTCGAACTCACAGCGATCCGCCTGCCTCTGCCTCCCAAGTGCTGGGATTAAAGGCGTGTGCCACCACTGCCCGGCTCTGTTGTGGCATATAATAGTAATTCATTCTTGTTTTTATGGAGATTATCTGTTCAGTCAGCTGATAGGTAATTGAGTTGCTTCCAGTTTTGGTTGTTAGTGTGTTGTGAATATATGTTTACAACATTTGTTTTGAACATACGCTATTCTCTTGAGTATATATGTAGGCATGAATCAGCTGAGCCATAGAGTAATTATTTAAAAGTAGACGCACCTTTAAATGTTTCTCAATGTGCCTATGTTAAAAAATTATTTTACTAATCATGTGTGAAGGTTCCGCTTTCTTTATTATTGTTGCTATTATTGTTAGTCTTATAGTGTCTGTTTTGATTATGTAGACCTAAAGTCGGTGGAATGTAAGGGTACTGTTGATCACTGTACTTTGTGTAAACCATATAAACATTGAAAAGTAGAGATTAAGTATCTTTTAGAAAAGCCTGGAACCAGATGTGTTTCAGATTTAATAATTTTTCAGATTTTGGTATGTTTCCATAGACTTTACTGGTTAAACATATCTAATCTGACAATGCAGAATCTGAAATGCCAATAAATCCAAACCTTTTTTGAGTTGTTGACATGATGATTTAAAATCTTCTAGATTTTGGAGCAATCTTACTTTCTCAAGTAAAGAGATCTTTTTTTAAGAAAACAGTATACTGGAAAATAGTTCATAAAGGTTTTCCTATGATAATTATTCTTCTAAACATTTTATATTGACAGCTCTTTGAAGCCTTGAAGATTATGATTTGAACGATGAATTGGGTTTATGTTAGTGTTCTAACTAAAGGTTTGTTTAATTTATTAGAATTATTAAGCCTACGTTCAGATCAAATTAGCAGCTAGACTGGTGTGACAACCTGTTATTAATCAGTGAATCAAAGCTGTTATCACCCTGATGTCCCCGAATGGCCACAGCTTGTAAAAGGTAATTTTGAATGCTATTTTTACAGTCTTTAAAAGGCTGCCATTGTAAAGTGAAATATTGCTAAGAATAGAGGATCTAAGAATTGAGCCATTTCTCCATTTAATATTCTTTCTATGGCATTTATTACAGAGAATTTCTTACCTGCCTTTCCATTCATGAAGATAAGTAGTCACCAAAAACCTATTCTTCTATATAGATAAATAAGAAAGTCTTTCTCAAAATGTTTGAAGATTACATTATGAACAGTTTAAAAATATGTGGAAAGTGCCTTGATTAATATTTTTCAGTGGATTTTTTTTTTTGGTGGTAGAAGTTTAAATGACTATAGAACTGCTGTGCCTTTAGTAAAACTAGTCTACTCTTTCTCCTCGAGTTATAGTGGAGTTAAAGGTGGGCCTTTACATACTTAAAAGGGCGGATTTGTTAGCTCATGTTGTACTGTTCAGATTATAGGGTGTTTTGTGATCATTTTCTGAATTCAAATTAGTAGCTAAAATTGATACTTTTAAGACTTTTCTCACCAGTGTTACTAGTTGTGCTTCAGTTTTCCATTTCCAATTTTATTTATTTATTTATTTTTTAATTCTGGCAAACTTTAGGATAACTTGGGTCAGTAGTTTTCTTTTTAAATTTTGGATGGTTTTACATTTTGAATTTGGTAAAATAAGAACCATCTACTGTATTCTTATTTCCAATTCATTGGCAGTAAAGAAACAATAAACTCTTTTAAGAACCAAAGTACAGCTTTGGACCTGTTAGTAGGCATTGTATATGCTCATAGTTTTGAGAGTTTATTCTAGTTTTAGGGTATATTTTAGTAACTTAGAATACTGTTGAAGTAGTCTGAGAGTGGATATTATTCAGATGTATACAATTATCAATAGCATTTTTCTGTTGTGTATCTTTACTTTTTACTAAAATAAAACTGTAGTTCGAATAAAAGCAGCCTATGCTATATCTAAGATACAGAGAATAATTTTAGGAAAATAATCTTTGAATTCTTTTTTACTCTGTTCTTTCTGGATTGGGTTGTTTTAAATTATTAATTGGGCTTAATGGTGTTTAATAGTTCACTCTAATATATGTAAACATTAGAGTTCTAACTATATATATATGTGCATATATATATATATAATACTTTATTGGCATTATGATGTTGGTTTTCACATATTCTGTTTAGGGAACAAAAATTGGGAAAATAGCTATAGTTGGTCATTTGAAAATATATTTGCTCTATAGCACATTTTAGGATCTTGAAACTTATATTCTCCTGAGATACCTTTTATTCCCCTGTCTTCCTCTTAAAATTTTTCTATATTTTTTTCCTCATCATTTCCCAATCTTTAAAAATTTTTCCCTTTCCTGTTCATTTAGAATATTTTGCTTTATAGCTGTCTAAAAAATTCTAATTTGCCTTTCTGATATCTAACAATTTTACTTATTTTTTCTTTTTCAAGCCAGCTTTACCTCACAGTCTAACGTCAGATGTTGGAGGGGCACATTAAAAACTGAGTTAGCTGGTATCTGTGGGTTATCATCGTGGTTTAGTTCTTGTAATCCTTTCGTGTGGGATGTAAGTTTGGAAACAATCTTTGGGTACTTATCTAAGGCTGGTGGAGACCAGGATGTCTCATGATTTGCTTCTTCACTGTGGGGAGAGGGTGGAGAAGTGTTGAATTTGTTATCACTACCAAGCCTCGATTTTCAGTTCATACATAATTTTGTGTTAAACAGAAAATATAAATACATTACCAAGGAAATCTAAAATATTTGAGCTTTGGGGTCTGCTTTTAATTAAGGGTGCCTTTCCCCCTCTTTATGTGCTTGTGTGTCTTGGAGTCTAAATGAATTGCAGAGTGTTATTTTGAAGGTCTAGCAAAGAAATGAAGTGATTTTTTTTTACACTAGAGAAATGTATATAGTAATTTTAAAGATTTTTTTTATTTTAAATTTTACTTCTTTACTTTATGTGTATATGTGTTTGTATGTATGTATGTGTACCACACGTCTGTCTGGTGCCCACAGAGGCCAGAAGAGGGCATCAGACCTGGGACTGGAGTTACAGATGGTTGTGAGCGACAGTGTGGGTGCTCGGAGACACACCTTGATTGTCTGGGAGCAACCAGTGCTCTTAACCAGTGAGCCACCTCTCCAGCCCCTAAGTTGAGGTTCTTTGTTAAAAATAACTTCCATAACTATGAGCCAAAATTAACGTTTTCCTAAACTTTTCGTTTAATTTGGAAAGTCTGAAGTCAGTGATAAATTCATAAATCAAGTCTTCTTTACCAATTTTAAAATTTAACTTAATCTTTTTTTTTTTCCTAACCCATTCTGGGAACTTGAAGTGTTAGAAATAGGTATTAAAATCAGTTCCCTTTAGCACATTGACTTTTGTGCTGGATAGTGGTGGTACACACCTTTAACCTCAGCATTCAGGAAGCAGAGGAAGGTATCTCTGTGAGTTCGAGGCCACCCTGGAGTACAAAACAAGTTCCCGGACAGCCAGAACTACACAGTAAAACCACATGTCAAAAACTAGAAACCAAAAAACCAAACCAACACAAACTGATCCTCACACACATTAATGATTTATAAAAATTAACTAACTGATTTTTAAAAAAAATTTTATTTCATTTCTGTGATGCAGTGTCTCACAGTCTAGGCTGGCCTCAAAATAGGTATGATCTTAGTTTGGCTTTCTGAGTACAGGAATTACAGGAAAGTACTGTTGTGCTCAGCTCTGGAATTACCCATGCTAGGAATAGGGAAAATTGCCTTATGTTCCAACCCAATAAAAATGGGATGCTTAGCCGGGCGGTGGTGGCGCACGCCTTTAATCCCAGCACTCGGGAGGCAGAGGCAGGCGGATCTCTGTGAGTTCGAGGCCAGGCTGGACCGACAGCCTCAAAAACAATACAGAGAAACCCTGTCTCGAAAAAACCAAAAAAAAAAAAAAAAAAACGGGGTGCTTCTAGACTCTGTAGTGGTATGCGTTTTCTATATTAGCTAATATACTAAAAATAAAGAAAATAACCAGCTGTGAAAGCTGAAACTAGTTTACAGTTATCTAGCAAATATAATAATCCACATACCGGCTGATGACAGAGAAATGTTTCTTTGGGAAATCTAATTTCCTTGTTGGGCCACAGTAATCATGATTAGAATGGTACATAGCATTTAAATATCTTAAGATTTATATATACTATTCTATTTTAGTTGAATTGCCTAGAGCAGAAGCTGCCAGAATCTTTTTAAGGGACCTGTGTAGTATTTTGGTTTTGGGGGGGAAACCTGGTCCTTTCTGAAAGTACTTAACCTTACTTTCTCAGTATACATAGTGTTCCAGTACATGTCACTGTCTCAGTAAAACATTACTTACAAAATAAGGTGATTATTCCACACCTGGTGTGTTCGCCCAGGTCACAGTTTGGTAATACTTCATTTAATTTCAAGACTGAATACCAGTTTGTTAATGCCGGCAACCCAACTCGACAGAAAGTTACAGTTTTGTTTTCATACATGTTTCACTTTTTAAATTATTGTGGCTTATGCTGATTTGATAGTAGTATAATGATTCCAATTTCTTTTTAGAAAAAGCATCAAGATTTTTAAAGTTTGTCCTTAAACGTGTTATGGCAGTCTGATCTGACCACTTTGTTTTCTCATTTTTAAATTTTTTAAAAATACCCTTTCATGAGAACTTAAGTCTTGCTTTCAAATTTATCTTCCCTAGTTAACATTTCTATCTCGTTGAATTCACTAACCTTTGTCCTTAATTACGTTTTACAGATCACCAAGAGAATCCCAGTCTGAGGACATTGAAGCTAGCCGAATGTAAGTATAACTTGGTGCAGGCTATGTTTGTTTTAAGTTGCCCTACACTGCTTTATTTCTCAATACCTTCCAGGGTTAAAATTAAAAAAATAAACAAACCCTAAATAAACCAATAAAATAAACAGAAAAATGTAAAGTTAAATCTAGAACTCCCCTCTTTCCTCTGGAAACCATTAGATGTCTCATGGTAAGTTGATAATTGCATATGAGATTCTGAATTCTAATGTTTTTGTGTCCTTAGCAGTTGTGGGTGAATAGGAAAATGACAAGATTCAGCCATCTTAGTGCCAACTATTGAGTAATTTTTAACTAATGAAAACAAGATTGTTTAAATACAACCTCTGCTGTATTTAGTTCCTACCTTCTGAAAGAGCACAAACAGATAGTTTTCATTACCGAGATAGAATTGTAGTTGGGTTACAGTGGGAATACAGAGGAGTGCCAAACCGTGCAATAGAAATCTAGTGCAGATAGAAAAATTGGCATAACTGGATAAAACTAGGTTCCATCTGAAATGTTACTGGGAATTAAGCAGCTGAAAGTTTGACTAGTTTTCTAGGCAGTCATGCTCAAGATTCTGAAGCAGGACACTTGAGAACAGGGAAGAGTGGGGAATTGAGGAATGAAAGATGGCGATAAGAATCATAATACAAGGGATTAGGCCAGACTGTGGCAGTGGCTTGGTGACTACAGCACCTGCCTGGCAAGCATGAGTACTGGAGTAGGGGCAATGCGGCTGCTAGATTGGCAGAAATGGCAAGCTGTGAATAGAGTGAAGAGGATGCCTCGGTAAATAAAGAGCAGTTGATGCAGACACTAGATGTCCAGCCTTTGATGTCTGCATATGCCCCTACATGTGTGTTAACGTACCTGTGCAAATGCACAGTATACTCACTCTGAAATTAGACGGAGGTGAACATAGATATGTGGAGTTGTGTTTAAGGATGTGATTGAAATAGCCAAGGTTTTCCTTACTGAAAGCAGATTACATCACTTTAAATGCTTATGTACATTGTGAATTCCAAGAAATGACTGTGAAATGACTATGAAGTATATTCTTTAAATTTATATGACCATGTAACTTTAAAACAATTATAAAATGTAGAAAATTTACTATTTGCTGTTTGAGAATATGCAATTCAGTGGTATTGTGGTCATTAATGCTTTTTAGCATTTATTATCAGACCTGTTTGTATCTTACAATGCTGAAGCTCTGTATGCATTAAATAGTGACTTGTTATTCCTACCATGACTGCATCTACAATTCTGCTTTTTGTCTGAATTCTGATGCTTCTAAATACTTCATGTAAATGTGGTCACAACAGCTTTTTTTTTTAAACTTGATTGGCTTATTTTACTAAACACAGTATCTTCAAAGTTCATTCATGTGTGCGATATACTACAACGCCCTTTTGTTTTTAGGCTGAGTAATTTTGCTTGCTTATATATGCTGTATTTTGCCCATCTATTCATCTGTTAATGGGGTATTTCTGTGTTAGCAATTGTGAATTATGTTGCTATAAGCATGGGTCAATTTTTTGAGACCTTATCCAAAATTCTTTTGGGTCTATATCTGAATTGTAATTATTTGATCATGGTAATTATGTTTACTATTTTGAGAATATACCATGCTGTTTTAAACAGTAGGTATACCATTTTATTTATATTACCTGTAATAAAAGCATTATCATTTTTCTACAACTTGGCTGGTGTATTAAAATTTCTTTGGAAAATAGTAGTCATCCTAATGGATGTGAAGTAGTATTTTAATTTATTATAGTTTAGTAACCAAGTAGCGTTTTTTGTTGATTTTATTCTTAAAAAGAAAACAAGTTTATTTTATATACTTAGATAGCTGCCAGTATGGCAGAAACTGAAGAACTGCCTTCCTCGTTTATCTCTCATTTATTTATTTATTTGGGCATTCATTCATTCATTCTTTTTGAGGTAGCCCTGGCTGTTCTGCTACTCTCTTTGTAGACCAGGCTGACTTCAAGCTCAGAGACTAACCTGCCTCTGCCTCCCAACTGCTGGGATTAAAGATGTACACCACCATTGCTGGCCCCCCATGTACCTTTTGATGAAAAACACTTTAATGGTGTTTTGTGAAATACTGTGATTAGAATAATTGGATTGGGACTAAGTATACTAAAACCTTAAGATAGCTTGGACAGGGTTGGGGTAAAGAAGCAGATTAAATGTTGTAAGTTTTATACACTGCATGGCCAGCTGAGTTTAGAAACCTCATAGTGCTTGCAGTTTTTAGAGACTTCTCTTGTAGCCTCTAATGAGTAATATTTTAGGGTGAGTTTTAGCAGAATAGATAGCACAGACTGTGGTTAGTAATGTGTAGAGAACTCTTTTAGCATTAGAGCATTTTAGGGTGAGTATTAGCAGAATAGATAGGACAGACTGTGGTTAGTGAAGTGTAAAGAACACTTTCACTATTCCTGATGGCGATGGTTGAGAATGTTTTGCCGTCACAAGATGCTAAAGTGTAATTCAGTCACTTTTTAGATAAAGCCCAGATCTAATGTCTTAATTGTTGAAATCCACTAAACATTTGAAGAACTAATAATAATATTTTTCAAGCTTGGTCAAAAAAATTTTGAAGGTTTCCAAACTATTTTTATGAGTCAATTATTACTCTGATATGAAAACAAAAGAAGAACTCTACTACTGTAGGCTAGTAACAGAAATTCTTAAGAAAGTAATAGCAAGCTGAATTAAACAACACATAAGTATTATTCACCATAATTAAGTGGGATTTATCTTAGCCAGGTAAAGGGGTGTATCCTTTTAATCTCAGTACTCAAGGGGCAGAGGCAGATGAATCTCTCAAAATAAAGGCCATCTTGGTCTGCAGAGCAAGTTCCTAGGCAACTGGAGCTACACATAAAAACCCTGTTTGGAAAACCAAAAAAAAAAAAAAGAAACAACAAAAACAACGAAAAACAAAATCCAAATATGTCTAACTACAGGTACCCTATTTCCTTACTCTAAGTCAATTACCAGCTGGCCATTCTTGCAGAAGAAAGAACAAAGATGATCCTGAGAAAATTTGGTTTGCATAAATAGAAGAATGAAATTATGTACTTAGTTAATATCCGTTACAACTGTAAGTTACTATATAGAAATATATAGCTAAAGGAAATAACAGTGGTGCGTTGAAAAAGATACCTGCATTTCCATGTTGATTAATGCAGAAAGAAACCATTGTTTGTCAGTGGGTAAATAAATAAAATTTGGTATATTTGGTGCTGTAATATTTAACCATTAAAAATTATCTGAAATCTTATGTTTGTGTCAACATGGATGAAAATGATGATCCACATTCCATGAAATAAGTCAAGCACATAAAAACAAGTGCTGCATGTTCTCACATGTATGTAGAATGTAAAACCATTGCTATTTACAGTGGACTAGATGATAGTCACAGAATACAAAATCAAAAATGGATACAATTTAGTCCAGAAGACCTGTTGTGTAACATGGTGACTTACTAATGTATGTTTTATTGACTATCACTAAAAGTAAAAGTTTAAGTATTCTCGCAAAAATGCTGTGTATGTGAGGTGATTTTGCAGTTATTTGTCAACAAAAATAAAAATTTTGGAAAAAACATCTGTGTCTTCATATATCAAAATTATTGCATGAATGAAAATTTTTAACAAATTGATAAAATTTCAATAGGTTTTTAATATATTTAAGGTAAAGGAGTAATTGTTGGAAATAGAGATGCTAAAATTCTTTTATTTTAAGAACTGGAAATAATTTTGGGATTTTTATACTGGGATATAACATGCACACTGATATTGATGTCACCTTATTGGTGACATAATAGAGTAGAAAAAAAATGTCCTTTAGCATATGAGCTTAATAGAACAGGAAGGAAAACCAGAAGGTTTTCAGGTAGATTATATGAAAGCTGCATGTTAGAAATTTGTGCATTTAGGATTTTTACAATCCTGTTTCAAAATTAAAAAAAGAGAATCTATTTTTCTGGGCATATTGACTCACTCTTATAATCCTAGTACTTGGGAGGATGTATAGGATTAACTTCACTCATATAATAAGACCAAACTATGCTCCATGAGACTCTGGCTTTAAATAACAGCAACAACAACAGAAAGCAGCTGAAAACAGGCCAAGGAGTCTGTTCAGTTGGCATAGTAACTGCTTTAAAAGTCCATGGATCAGATTCTTAGAACATATGCAAAACTCTTAGTGGAGGGGCAGAAATAGAATAACTGTTGAAACTCATTGTTTATGCAGACTAGACGACTCAGTGCACTTCCGGTTTACTGAGAGACTCTCTCAAAAGCTAGGTGTGGAGCAATAGAAGATGAAGTCTGAATTGATTTCTGATCACCAGATCACATGTATGGGTATACATACCTGCACATGTATGCACACATACCCCCCTCTGCACATACAAACAGAACTGAGTAATCCAAAAGTAGGACTGTTATTTGTATGCCCTTAATTTCCTCAAACCTTTTTTTTTTTTAATAGACCTTTGCATCTCAGTAGTTTATTTTCCATGTCCATAAACCAAATCCTGGAAAATATCATCAGATTCTCTTTTTCTCATATTGGAACCATTTGTAAGGCATGCTGGATTTATTTTCAAAATACAATTGATAGTACCATTGCCATTTTGTTTTGATGAGGGCTGTCATTGTTTCTCAGTAATTTTATTCTAGAAACAATAATTGGGTGTTTTTGATACTGAAGTTGAACTGTCTTTGCTATAATCAAAACTTTTCAGACTTCCCATTTCTTGAACTATACCCAGAAAGTGATATGGTCTTGTATGAACGGGCTTCTTTAATCTATGTGACATACTGTATTAGCTTTATGTATCCTACAACTTTTGAGCTCCTAAACCTGGTACTTACCATCTCTTCCTTCTTTTGGGTTAACCACATCTTTTTCTTCTTTACTTGCTTCAGAACTCTTAGTGTCTTGTCAGAGATGTCTTTTCTGAGTAACTTTGT